GAGTAGAACCTGATTTTGCAGACAGAGTGGAAAAAACTGTTGATCAGGAAAATGGTTGCTGGTTTAGAATCATCTCTCTCTCTCTCTCTCTCTCTCTCTCTCTCTCTCTCTCTCCTCTCTTGCTCATTTGCTTACTCTTTCTCATATGCACACTCTCTCTTTATATTCCTTAACATTGGCAATTTAACAATTTCTTATAATTTGGTGTCCAGTGAAGTCATTATTGGAGAAAAGTCAGGCCCCAATCTTTCTTTGTCAGGCTTAAAGCTTAAATGCCAGTTCAATTAATTCCAGTGTAAAGTGGATCCCTGCTGCTATTTCAATTTGCCCATCCAGAAGAAGTGCTATTTCTGTTTTTAAAAAAATTCTAGTTTTGTTTGAGATTATGAGATGATGTACAGTTCTCCTCATCCATTCCATTCTATTCACTGGGAATTAACATCATCATTTTACATATGTCATTTGTCTCCTCATGCTTGTGTGCATTATAGAAAAAGCAATTCTTTGTTTTCTCAATTTAATATTTGAAGAAAACTTGTCTTTATTCTTCAATTATGTTAAATATATACCTTAAGCATTACTTATTTTATTTCCTTCATTACTTTAATGTATTTACGAATGTCATTAATAATGTAAAGGTATACTTTTACTAATGTACTGGCCTTCATTAGATAAATTAGTGGTCAAAATATGCACATTTATAAGCTAGTATTCTAAGGCACAGGAAGAATATTATTCAAATAATACCATGAGGAAAGTTAGTATTTAAATATTCCATGCAAAGTAGCAAAAGTATATTGTTGCTCATTCATAATAAGCAAACAGATATAACACAAAGGGAATTGTATGAACATAGTAGAGCGTATTTTTTTCTAAAATGACTTAAATATTTCTTCTACACCTTAATGACTTAAACCTGTCATCGGTGTCAAGTAAAATCAATATGATATGGCATGGGAGTTTAATTCATTTGGTAAGGGACTTGCCTGGCACATTTGAGGCCCCAGGGTTCAATACCCAGCACTGCATAATCTGGGTTGTTGTTTGGTTTTGTTTTTGAGAGAGAGTAAAAATATTGAGTTGGTAGGTGGGAGGCAGTAACTGGGAGGAGTTGGGGGAGGGAAATGAATATGATCAAAGTATATTGTATGAAATTATATATATGAGATCTTTGCATTTCTTTTTTATAATTTTCTATTATGCAATTTTCTATATATAAATTTCTATACATTTTACATACCAACCACAGTTTCCCCTCCTCCCACTTGCCCTGTCCTCCCCAATCTAATCCCCAACCACTACTAAGAAAGGGTAAGGCCTTCTATGGGGAGTCAATAAAGCCTGGTATACTCAGTTGAGGCAGGACCAAGCACCTCCCCCCCTGTATCAAGGGTGAGCAAGGTAACCCATGATATGGAGTGGGCTCCAAAAAGCCAGCTCATGCACCAGGGATAGATCCTGGTCCTACTACCAGGGGTCCCACAAACAGACTGCTGTCCACATGCAGTGGTCCTAGTTTGGTCTCATACAGCTGTAGGTCTAGAGTCCATGAGTTCCCATGAGTTCGAGGTCAGCTGTCTCTGTGGGTTCCCCTTCATGCTCTTGACGCCCTTGCTCTTATAATTCCTCCCTCCTCTTGATTGGACTCCCAAGCCTGGTGCTAGGCTGGGGATCTCTGCATCTGTTTCCATCAGTCATTGGATGAAGGTTCTATGATGTCAGGGTAGTCCCCATTCTGGTTACAGGGAAGGCCAGTTTAGGCACCTTCTTCACTATTGCTAGGAGTCTTAGCTGGGGTAATCCTTGTGGACCCCTGAGAATTTCCCTAGCACCAGGTTTCTCCCTAACCCCATAATGGCTTTCTCTATGAAGATATCCCTTTCATTGCTCTTCCACTCCATCTGTCCCCCAATTCAACCTTGATCTCTCATTTCCCATCATCTATCCCCTCCACTTTACTGCCCCCCACCCCCAGTTTACCCAGGAGATCTCAACTACTTCCCCTTCCCAGAATGATCCATGTGTCCCTCCTGCATTTTATTAACAGAATTGAAACTTCCTTCTAAGGCAGAGAGAACCATGTCTATATTAAAATTATATTTCCTAAACAAGTAAAATCTCTACCTTTATTCTAAATATTTATCTTTATATCCACAAATTAGTGTATACCTCAACCTTCATTAAAGAAACTTCTTTCTACAGTAGATGAAGATCATTGCAGAAAGCCTACCTGGTCAGAATTCAGAGATCAGATGACCTGGACATGTTTACACCCCCCCCCCAATTAATGCATCTAAAAGACAACCCCCATACTCAGGGCTCGGGGAACTTTGCAGAAGGGGTGCAGAAATATTGTAGGAGATAGAGGCCTGGGACAGCTGTTGTGAGACAATGAATTTTAAAACAATAACAGCAACTAGAAGAAGATGTGAAATGGGGGTGAAGAGGAAGGGGTGGTTCTTAAGGAGAAGTCATGGTCAGGAATGATGAAAGAAGAGGAAGAATGGATGGATACCAGAAAGAATAAAGTCAAGGGAAGTTAATCACACATAAAATGGTCTCTCTCAGACTCATGTGGTTTATGATCATACACAATGCAAGAATAAGACAAAAAACAGTTACTGATACTTTCCAGTTTTTAGTTATAAAATATATGTCCTTAATATAAGCCACAGACTTAAATATAGTATAATACTATAAAAATATATCACTTATACTTCAGGAAAATAATTTAAGCTAAATAAATGCTAAGGGACATGGTCCATTTCAAACATGTATGTTTTTCAACTATAAAAGTGCTCTGTATGTTCTTTATTACAAAAATTGTCAGAACCCAAACTGGAGCCCTTAAAGTAAACATAGTCCAAATCACAGCGAGACACAAAAGTGATGTCTGTGTTGCTGGAAGCTTTGGAAGTATATTATCATGCAGAGCAGCAGGCATGATAAAACTAGTGCTCTTTGTGATTTTTCTTATATTTATCACTTCTCAATAGATTTTTTTGTCCTTAAATATTAATGACTTGCACTTCCGTCTCCTTTAAAAGACATCATTGTTTGAAATTGGATTAAGGACCACACATAAGAATATCACCTTCCACAGAGACCTTGAATTTTAGAGTTCCACTAAATAAAGTGCTCAATTCAAAATCCATTTATCACAAAAGCCACATGTTTAAAGCTCTATAATTTCATTTAATCATATGTTTAATAATAGTTCACATATCTCTTCAATATGGTTAAACTTTATCTGAGTTTTAAATCTTTGTTCTATGGCAGAATTTAACCATTCATGTTACAAAATAGAGTATTTCTGGCTTAACATGGACAGCAGCTATGCTATCTGAATGTTATATTTATGGAATATTAGTATAGGAAAATGCCCTAACAATTAAGTGCTTTGCCATGTAAACATGTGGACCTGAGTTAGTAGTTTCAACACTATCTAAAAACTGAATATGGCAGAAAATGTGGCTTTAATCCTAGTGCTGAGGAGGTGAACCTCTGGGATTCACTGGTCAGCTAGCCTACCCAAACAGTAATCACCAGACTCAGTGAAAAATCTTGTCTCAAAAATTAAGGTGGATGGCGATTGAGGAAGACACCTGACATTGACCCCTTACTTCCACATGCACACCTATAAAAATTATTTCAAAATATTGAGATAAAATGCAATCATCAAAACATTAGTGATTATTCTTACTGATAACTGTTTTTAAGGATATAATTACTTAGTATTATATATAGCTATTTTCTTCAGAGATAGTTTTGTGAAAAGACAAAGTCTGGTCAACCCCAAATCACTAACTGGGAGTATACACTGGAGAAGAGTACTATGTCAGTGTCAAGTACTCTCACATCTCCTGGCATCATAAAAACTTTCAGGGACAGATTCAGACCCAATTGGATTTGGACTGATTCTCTCTGATCCTAGGTAAATCCTCATGACCTACTTGGAATTAATGTAGCTTGGAAGGAAGAAATTTTCCTACAAGATACTCAATCTATCATGAGTACTTTATAATTTTATATCATAGAAAAATACAGAAAACTATGAAAGAGTGTTCAATGCATTAAAAACATCCTTATTTAGTAATATACATGATCACACAGAGTTTAGGAATGTTGATAACTACCCAGGCTAAGAAAGATGGCCTTGTTAGTTGTAACACAATACACCTTCACTGTGATAGCAGCATCCTAACAGATTTAAAATTAGAAGAAATCTACTTATTTGTCGAAAACTTCAATAATCATCACAAGTTACACAGTCTTTGTCTGCATGTTGTAAACATTTCTAGTCACAGACCATGGATTGTTTTCTGAATATATCTTAACAGAAATGGAAAAACAAGTAACAATTCTGATCTGATATGGAAACTTGTAAAGTGATTCCTTTGGTTGTAAGAGTCATATAGAGAGATTTTCTCTTGGTATGGGCAAAAGTAAGCTTCTAAAATGTACACACATACCTTAATTAAAAATATTACTAAAATAATAATGAGAATCTAGGCCTTAATTATTTATGATCCTTCTGCCAGTGCAACATCTTGCCTCAGTGTTGATGGTTCCTACTGATATAGGTGGTTTTTCTGAGGGTGGGATAGTTTTGAGATTTTCTTAAAATAAGAAAATTACAGGGTTTTCTTAATCTACCTGATCTTCTTTTCATAAAAGATTTATTTCCTATACTACATGATAATGTTTGATAATACCTTATCCAAATTCTGCCTTTCAAAGTCAGAGTCAGTATTCTCAGTCCATGATGCTGCCTTATCAATTGAGTTTATGTAATTTCTAGATTCTTCATTATCACCTAGTCACATTTACAGCATCCTTACCATGAGTAAATTAATTCAGATAACAACATTTTTTTAAAAAGTTCATCCATAGAAGCAAATCCTCACTAGTAATTTTTACTGTGATTGTTCAACACCCAGTCATAACTCTAGACCGCACTTTTGATTCTCATTTTCTTGCTGTTTCCACCACATCTGCAGGTCCTTCCTTCACTGAAATATTGGAATCCTCAAAGTCATCTATGGGGGCTGGAGACATGGCTCAGTGGTTAAGAGGCTGCTCTTCCAGAGGTCCCAGGTTCAATTCCCAGAAATCACATGGCAGCTCACAACTGTCTATAACTCCAGCTGATCGGCCATCCTCACACAGACATACATGCAGGTAAAACAGCAATGCACATAAAATAAAAATGAATAAATTATTTAAAAAACATCTACAGAGGTTGGAATAATCCAATTCTTTCATGTTACTGTTCATGTTAGTATTCTGACCCTCTCCCAGCAATCAATAATCTTATTGGCATCTACAATAATGTATCTTTCATAAAAAGTTTTCAGGTTATGTTACCATGAGTCTATGGTAGCCTATGATAACTTTATTTGTGAACTTGGTAGAATCACATGAAAGACAGTCTCAATGAAGAATTGTCTGCATTAGGTTAGCCAGTAGACATGCCTATGGGGGATTCTCTTAATTAACCTAATGGATGTGAAATGGTCCAGCCCACTGTGAGTGACACAATTCCATAGGCAGATTATGTTGAATTGTATTAGAGTGGCAAATTCCAACTGAGCAGTGCAAGCAAGTATGCATGCATTCATTTCTTTCTTCTTTGATCCAGGTATTTCCTCACAGCAACACAAACTAAACTAGACACAGCTATAGTCTAGCATACACTTCTGAAGTAATAATACTTGAAAGTCAAAATCACTCTGTAATTCTAGGACTGATGAATATATATCACAACAGACATGAAAAAGCCATTAATCGTATATCTCTTCATCACAGATCCTAAATAACCAGATGCAAACCAATAAACAGTAATATGTTGAAAAATACTGTTTTCTGAAACACAGAAAAGTGGGCTTAAAATAGTCATTAAGTCATTTTGTAAGCAGATGTGCTGCTGCCCAGGTTGTTGTTCACATACAGAGGACCAGCAGGGTAGGTTTAGTAAAATTCTCAATATATCCACGATTTTCAGAATAGAAAGTAAGCATTGTCATCAACTTTAGTCACCAGTTTCATTATTCTTGAACAAGAGACAAACTGTCCTTGGAAGCATGGAAACAGGTTCCATTAAAACTCACATTTTCAATGTTCTACAACCAGATTATCTTAGTTTAGCTTGAGGTGATGTCACATCCCAAATCAATCTTACATGCTGAACTACAAAGCTGTATTTCCTTTTAAAAATATTAAGAACCCGAGTGCTGCATTTGATGAGGAGCAAGACCAGCTCTCCCATACTTAGATATCATGGCCAGCTCTCCCAATCTGCAATTAACATTTGCAAGTAAAGATAGGGATAAAAGGGTTCACTGCATGATTTGCTGTGTCACACTACAGTTTCCATGATGATATTGATTTTTTCTTCTATTTTTTCTTAAATTTTATTTTATTTTGGGGGCTTGGAGGTTGCAAGGGCAGAGGGTGGATACGAAGAAACAGGGAAATGAGTGGAATGGAGACGAATGATATGAAAGACACAGAGAATCAATAAAAGAGGTGAAAAATATAAAGAACAAAAAGAGGAAACTTGAGAGAAGCCATTATTTTAAAGATTATATTAACACCCCTGAAAACATACATACAAGTACATACATATCGAGCAGGTTATATTTACAAATACACACACACACACACACACACACACACACACACACAGTATCAATTAATAAAGAAAGATGCCATGAATTTGACATAAAGCAAGAAGGGATATGTGAGAGAGTTTGGAAAAAGGAAAGAGCAGAAAGGGAAGGTGGGGAATGATGTAACTTTTTATAATCTAAAAAGTAAAAAAAAATACTTAAAAAGAAAACTATTTAATTGAATTAATTTTTAAGTAAATAATTTGTAAAAAGAATACATTTTCCTTAAATTCAAGCATCATTTTTTCAGTTTTAACAAATAGTTTTACTATATAGGTATTTTACCTAGTTGTAGAACATTGAAAATGTGAGTTTCATGGAACCTGCTTCAGAGATATTTTAGAGGTCATTTCAATAACAGAATGATAATTTTATGGTGGCAGAAAGATTCTAAGAGTAATTAGTTGTGGAACTGAGATAATGAAATCAGTTCTAGAACTGAAGTGAACTGAATTGAAAATTTCTTAAAAAGAAAGAAAATAAAGGAGGGATTTTTCACCCCAAGGACCAATATTTTCTTTCCTATGGGGCTTGTCACTTTGGTAATTGGAATTTTACATAAGAAGGGTTATTTCATCCCTCTTTAAAACTCATTAGACTGTATGAAAGTTAAAAAATGGAAATTTTTGTGAATTACTCAGTAGCATGTGAGCAAATAAGATTCATTAAATGCAGTCATTTCCTACCTACTCCTTCTCTGGAATAGAATGCATTCCATCTACCCCCAACAACAGGCTTGGTTCGCCATATTTATGCCTAAGCCTACTTAAACCTTCCCTTCTTTCTCACTGAAATATAAGATAATGGGTTTCTTGAGTGTTGCTGATGCTGATCTAGGGAAAGAAATGTGAAAGCTTTAAGATAGTCTCAGCATACTCAAGATTGCTTTCACTTTTACTTATTAATTATATTTTTAGTTGATTTATTTATGTTTTGTGTGTGTATGTATGTTTGGCCTGCATGTGTGTATGTGTTTGGCACCATGTGTGTGACTGGTATATGTAGAGACCAGATGAGGATGTTGGATTTTGAAATAATTTTAAGCCACTGTGTGGGTACTGAGAACCAAGCCTGAGCCCTCCACAAGAGCAGCAAGTGTTTTCTCCAACCCTATCAGTGTTCATTGTAAAATTCAGATCTGTGTACATTTACCCAGTGAAACTGCATTACTAATGTTAATATATCAATATAACTAGAGTGGCTTTTATGAATTTAACATATCTATGCCTTTCACACTGTTCAAATCCTCTCCAGAGTCCTTCAGTTCAGTGTAAATTCAGTGTGTTGAAAAGTGTCAAGAGACTTTGACTATGTTTAGTGGATAATCAAATTAGAATTTAATTATGAGAGAGAAAGAAAAGGATGGTTGGGAATCTCACAGATGGATTTTCTATCATCAATAAACTTTGGGAAGTCAGTGTGCAATATAACAGAAAGGATTCTACCTTCTAGTTTTACCTTTCACTAGGACTTACTCCTCAGATTATTTTATATCTACACAAAAAAGTTGTAATATTTCATCTGTAACTTCTCTCTCATTTTTTCAAAGTCTGCCTTTCTATTCAGCTCACTTTGAAATAGAACATAACAAAACATGCTTCCATGACAAGAATACTAGACTTCAGCTTAGAAAATAAGAAGGAACATGTGAGTTGGGCAAAATCTCTACAAAGCAGTAGCTCCTTCATAAGCTGGGATATTTGTTGGGGTATCTGATTTAAGGCTGATGGTTGACTTCAACATTTTTCAACTCTTTCTCTCTTAAACATGAACATATTAAATCAGTTCAGACTTTAATATTAAGTAGAAATACTCCTTTGTTTGTTTTTTTTTTTATCAGAACTATGTAAGTTGGGAATCAGATATAGGAGATTTTTTTATAGGTTTTTTGAGACAGGGTTTCTCTGTGTAGTTTTGGAGCCTATCCTGGCACTCACTCTGAAGACCAGGCTGGCCTCAAACTCACAGAGATCCGCCGTCCTCTGCCTCCTGAGTGCTGGGATTAAAGGCTTGTGCCACCAATGCCTGGTGATATAGGATATTTTAAACTATTGAATTTTAGAATGAGATGACCAAGTCAGTCTATTTTTGTTACTAAGGTATTCATGTGATTTTCTGACAAAAACAAAATAGACATTTTTTACCCTTTCAGAGAAACCCCAATTCTCCACAAGACATCATCAAATCTACAAATCCCAAGGAATACAACAGGCTTCATTTTAGGAAGAATTTCTCTTACAGAGCCCTATGAATATTGTGAATAGCAAAATTCACCTATCTCAGACTGAATGAAGCCAGTGAAATAATAGGCTAATGAAAATACTAACTTTTTTAAAAAATACAATCTTTCAAAAAAACATGTAAATCATAAAGAACTGTGGGAAATTAAATGTGATTAAAATATGATTTATCTTATCTTTAGAGAGTAATGGAAACAGACAGGAGTCATCATGGTAGAAAAATTATTTTGTCTGCCAATAGGAAGCAGGCAAATCTCATGTTGATTAATAACTTCAAAATGGCTTAGAGAGAAAAATATTCCAGCATTTTAAATTTAGTATTTCACTGTGGGAGGCTTTCACTCAATAAGTCTTAAAAGATATCACATTTTATACAAAATAATCACAGACCCAAGTCTAATACACATCATTTCTTTAATACTAATTAAGCAGGTATTTCATTATTTTTGTTTTGTTATCCCCTTTGAAGCCAAAGTTGGACTTTAATTTATAATCCTCCTGCCTTAACCTCCCAGGTGCCAGGATTATAGAGATTTGCATTTTATCATTTATATTACTGCAGATATCTTTAGGAAGTCTTAAAAACATACCAATCAGGGAAGTGGTAAAATAACTAGAATCAACAAGTAGGAGCATAGGTGACTATGGAGGGCTCTGATGTATGAGATGTACTATGCATATGCTTTTGGAGGATCTGCAGTAGTTACAGCCAATACCATAACCACTTTCAAATATAATTAGACTTCGGGTCTAATCATAAGGCAACTTGTGGATAAGTAGGACCAGATTCAATTTTTGTACAAAACATGGCCATTTTAGTTTCGTTTGTATTGCTGGGAAGGAACACAATTACCCAGATGACTTACAAAAGAGCTCATTTCAGGGTTTATAATTCAAGGGGCTATAGTCCAGGGCTGTCATGGCTAGGATTGTGGCATCAGGTAGGCAGGCATGGCACTGAAGCAGGAGCTGAGATCTTATATCTTGATTTACAGAGGTGAAAAAGAGAGAGTTAACCAGGACTGGCATGGGCTTTTGAAACCTCAAAGTAAACACTCAGTGACACTTCTCCAACAAGGCCACACCTCCCAATCTTTCCCAAGTAGTTTATCTAAAAGGAAGATGAAATACTCAAATACATAAGCCTATGAGTGTTATTCTCATTAAAACCACCACAATAGCTAACTGAGGTGCATGTGTGTCAGGCCAAGGTTTCCTTTGGAGACTACTGAGAGTGAATAGACTTGCTGGGAATCAGTAGTCCAGACCT